GGAATCTGGAATGGGTGGGAAGTGGAGGTCCAGGAGCATCTGTCCTAGGAAGGGACTTCATTTACAAGTTACTTCACACACCATTTCCACTGACATGTGACATGGAGGGGGAGGCTGGGAGATGTGTTTCAGCCATGTGCCTCAGAAGAGGGGAAGGCAGAACACAGATATTAGCAAACACCAGCTGTCACTGTCACAAATGCTGACCCCCATGATGGCAGAACCACTCTTTGACCGGATGGAAGGTTAACCCCAGACTTTGATGAGACGTGAATTTGATCGCTTCATAAACACTGCCGGCAAAACTGGGAAACTGTGGAGTGCTTTGATGTACTTCATTTTAATATGAAGCCCATACATAACCCTCTAGACTCTTTTTATTTCAAATGGGCTAAAAAAATCACTTTTAAAATGCCACCAAGATTATGTGAAAGTCGAAACGCATACACTCCAATTGTGGAGGAGTGACAATTTCCTAACTAAAATAAATTAGTAAGGGTTATGACACATAATCAGCCAAATGACAAAAATAAAAGCAGGGCACTGGAAAAATATAGAGTTTAGTGGCCCAAGTAGGTGAGGGCATAAAAATAAATCTGTGAGGGGAATACCCAGTGTCCACTGGACAGATGGCCAGTAACTTTGAGACACATGGCAAAAAGGTTAAACACTTAGGAACATTTTAGTCTTTATGGTCCTTAATGGCGTGCAAATACTGTATTATAGCAAGAAGATGACCCCAACTCTTAGCAATAAAGTGAGCAAAAATCAGTTAAAATGATGAGGCCTACAGCTGGTGTGACGGGAAACAGGAACTCACTCATGTGGGCTTTGTGAGTCAGCCCAGTGGTCCTGAGGAAACCTGGCCCTGACAAGATGATGCATTCCTGTGCCCTGGCGTTCACTGATCTCACTCTTGGGGACAGATCTCAAGGAAATAGCTCAAGAGGAATAGTAATTAGAGAGCATGACTGTCTGCCCAGGTGCCTGCAGTTAGGAACTGGTTACCTAAGATTCTGTGTTTGGAATATTCTGTTGCCATAAGAAGTTCCTGTCTGGAGTCAGAGAGAGAGGGGAGCCCATCCCAAATCTGCCACTTAGCTGTGTGACTTTAGATATGTCCCTTAACCTCTCTGAGCCTCCGTTCCCTCCTGGATAACATGGGGATAAAAACAGATTGCTACCCCTTGGGGTTGTGTATTAAAGGAGATAGTGTCTATAAAGTGTCAACACAGTTCCCTGCACAGACCGCTTAACAAAGGGCAGCTGTTGTTATTGGAAGGTGACTACTTGGTAGATCTCAGAGAAAGAGATCCTGTTTGCAAGGGATGAAGTGGCATCAGGAAGTCTCAGCTTTGTATCTTTAAGAAGAGCTGGTATCTGGACTTCTGGTTTGTTTGTTTTTTCACAAAGTCAGAAAAGGGAAAATAAACCTCTGCCACTACTACTCAGGAGTCCACCAAAATGCAAAGGGGGTAAACCTCCTCACACGGGGGTAAAGTCGCCTGAAGCAGAGAGGAAAATGCCGGCCAGGCTCGCACTTGCAGCAGAGTGGGGTCAACCGTGGGGTGTCTCCAAGGATTTGGAAATGCACATTTTTTGAGGCCTGCTCTGCGACACGGGTTTTATAAACCCAAGTTCGAAATTTTTATCTCCCGCTTTGGTGGGGGGGGGGGGGGGCGTAGGTAATCTGCCCAAGGTCACACGTTAAGTGACCCGGTATGACTGGTCCCCAGGCTGGTGCTGGTAACCACTGCACCTTACTGCCTTCAGCTGTCCTGCCGGGCGCGGCTCGGGGGACGGGAAGGCACCCGAAGGGCTGCGGGATCAAGGGTCTCGGAAGGGGAGAGCTGAGCTGAGGGTGGTCGCAGGCTCCCTGTGGTGGCAGGTCCAGGGTCATGACCTATCCGTTCCTCTCCGGGAGCCCCGGGGCGCGCCCCACTGCAGAGTCCTCCTCCCACCAGCAGGGGGCGCCGAGGAGAATGCGGGCGGGAGGTCGTGGGGCGCAGAACCGCCGCCGCTCCCTTTCGGAGTTGACATCAAGACCGCCGCTCGCCCGCGCGCCCGCGGCGAGGCTCCGGGACGCGGCCGAGACGGGATCCGGGCCCCGGAGCTCCCCGGCAGAGGCCAGTCCCACCGCGCCACCACCCCCGTCCAAGCCTGCCCGGAAGCGCTGGCGCCGAGGGGGCGGGGCCGGGAAGCGCTTCCGGGGGCACGACC